TGCCTTTTTTAGATGCGAATGTTTATTTGGTCTGACTTTGAAATACCTCAGAGTAGCTGAAATAACTTAAGGCAGCCCTATAAGGAGTGCCACTTCCTGACCTTCTAAGTGCTAATCCTTTGCTGGGGCCACAGAAGGACTGGCAGGGTACCTGAGGGGCAGCGCCTGGCCCTCCCTGACAGGGCCTCCCTGACCCTTCAGCAAGTTGGTCGCTCTGCACCAGGACCACTGTGGCCTGTGCAGGTGGACACTTCTGCAAGGACAGCAGTGATAGTTGCAAGGGAGCCAGCATTTGTTGAGGACCTGATATATGCAGGTCACCACCTCCAGGAGAGGGGCGAGGGACTCACCTTTTGAGATTAACAGGTGCAATTTGACTTTCTACCCCAAATCCTAGAGGTATAAGACTGCTGAAATTTGTCATGGTGACAAAACCTTTTGCAAAGCATTGCTGTGAGGATTAAATTAGTAAGATGCCTGGAAAACGCAATTCGTAATGAATGGGTGTATGTGAGCTATGACTTGGCTGGTGGGTGGGCCCAGCTCACCACCCTGCATCTACAGTCACGGAGTAGTGCTCACTGATCTGATCATTCACTGGGTCTAGGGGGATGCTGGTCACCAATGTTGGGGGCTGCCGTAGCATTACCTTCTTTGTATAGATGAGAAAACTGAGCATCAGAGTTGTTGAGTCGGAACTGGAGCTAGAGCCCAACAGCTGGCAGAGCCTGGTCAGGTCCTGAGGGTGGGCCCTTTGCTCACATCCTTGGCTGGCACTGCCCCTCCGGGTGTGCAGTGGATGCCTTCTTGCTCCCGCACTGTGGTGGTGCATCCCCTGCTGGCCTCTGCCTGGGTGTGCCGGGGGCGTCTCCTCCCTGGGCTTTGGTGAGGCTGTCTGCCCTGCAGGGTCTCAGCAGTGCATCTGAGCTGGGGAGCAGCCTGGACTGGTTTCTTGGTTCCTGCATCACCTGCTGCCTCCTGCCTCAGGTCCCTGGCACATACCGTTCTCTCCCGTGGTCAGCCTTTCGTCCCTGGGTTGTAGGCAGCTCCACACCTGATGAATGCTCAGTGCCAGCATTGCTTCCCCTGACTAAGTGAGGCCCCTGCAAGGTGTCATGCCATCCACCCTCGGTGGAACACTGATCTCCACAGGCTCGCACAGCATGTCTGCTTGCTCACCAACATCATCCCAGCCCCCAGCACAGGTCCTGGTGCAAAGTAGCCTCTCAAATGTGAATGATGGTGTCCTGAGGGGAAGGATGGAGAGAGCTGGGTGGGAAAGGCCAGGAGACAGGAAGCTGGGGTGGCGTCTGGCATCCGCCTTCCAGCCTGCCAGGAGGGAGGGTGGGTGACCCACCTGCCTGGCTTCAGGCTTCACACTGTGCCTTGGGCCTTTTCTTGACCTGCATGGACAGCTTGATGCTGGCCTGGGCCCTGGTCCCCTGCTCTGAGACTGTCATGCTTGTAATGGGAGGGGTGGGGCTGTGTTTAGGGGACAGAGCAGGGTACAGTGGCCTGACCATGGGGTGCAGAGCTATGGGCCACACACACTTCTAGGTGATGATTTCCCATCTTGCGGACACTGCTTTATGGAGACCTGTTGGCCCGCTGTGGTGCCTTAAATTGGGGTCTCCAGAATTGGAGGCCGACCTTGCATCTGGGGGATGGGGTAGGCTGTGGGGGTGGGAGCAGGGGCAGCTTCTGGCCATCTGCCTGGCTTGTCCTCAGGTGGAAGGTGGTCAGGAGGACATTCACAGCTTAGGGCCACTAGATACATGTGGGACTCTAAAGGTGGTGAAGGTGGCATCTCAACCTGTAGAGAAAAGGTGGGTTAGTCAATACATAGTGCTGGGACAATGGGCCAGCCATCTGGAAAAAAAATCGAATGCCCAGGTCATGTCTTCACCCAAATAAATCCCAGAAGGATCCAGATGGATCAAAGATTTAAATGTAAAAAAAATGAAACTGTAAAAATACCAGAAGAAAATGAGAAAAAAATTTGTAATCTTGGAGGAGGGGGGTGAACTTTTTGATTATGTTGCAAAATCCTGAGGCCATAAATACTGATTTATTCTACCAAATAAGAGCTGAATATTTCTGCATGGCAGAAACATCCTGATTAAGTAAAAAGGCAAATGATAAACCGAGAATAAAATTATGACACATCCTGAAGATGGAATTATCATGCAGTCATTCAAAAGAACAAGGTATATTTATGTCTATGATTTGAGAATAGTATCACATGCATAATAATATATGCAACATGTCACAGTCAGAGGGCTGCTGTAAATCAATAAAAAAAAATCCAGTGACTGAACTGGAAAATGGGCAATGGATAGAAATCCTTCAGAGGAAGTGAAAATGCTTCTAAACATCTGAAAACCTGCTTAATCTCACTTACAGTAAGAGAAGTGCAAACTGGAACATCAGTGAAACCCTAGTTTACACCAACAGATTGGCAAAGTTCCAGCTTTGATGACCACTGTGTGAGGGGACCGAGCTTGGCAGGGGCGCGGGGGAATTTGGGCACCTCGGGCAGAATTACACACTCATGTGCTCTGGCCCAGCAATCCCACTTTGGGACTTTGTCCTATGGGCGTTGTCACACACATGTGCAAGGACATTTATCACCGAGGCTCATGGAAACATTGTTTGTGGTCGTAGAAATGTGGAAACAACTTGAATACTATCAATAGTAATATTAATGAAATAAATTACAGCACATCCTTGGTACGGAATTACCATTCAGTCATTTTTTTTAAAAAGGTGTATTTAGGTCTATGATATGAAGCAATCTTCAAAATATATTGTTTCATGAAAAAGAGGAAGCTAGAGAGTGTGTGTATAGAATTCTCTCATTTGTGTGAGTGTGTGTGTAGAAGCATAGAAATTAATTCCTGGAAGGATATATAAAACATCGAACTTGGCACCATGGGTTTCCTCTGATGTTATGGACTGAATGTTTGTGTCCTCCCCCCGAATTCATACTTTGACCATCCTAACCCACCTATATGATGGTATTGTAGTGGGGCCTTTGGGAGGTGATGAGGGCATGAGGGTGGAGCCCTCAGGAATGGGATTAGTGCCCTTGTAAAGGGACCCCAGGGAGCTCTCTAATTTACTTGCCGTCATGTGAGGACCCGACGAGAGGCCGAGGCCGGTCAGCTTCTGCAGCTGGAGAGGGTTCCCTAGAGCCCGCTGTGCTGGCGCTCTCCTCTTGGACTTCAGCCTCTAGAACTGGGGAAAGACGTTTCTGTTGTTTATAAATAGCCACCCAATCTCTGGTGCTTTGTTATAGCAGCCTGAATAGACTAAGGCTCTGGAGAAGGGGCCTGAGGTCTGTGGGGGGCGGTAGGGACTCATTTCCCAAGGCTCCTCCTTCATTCTGTTTTCATGTTTCTCCCCAGCATGAAGTTCATTTTCGGTTTTTTAAACTGTCCAAGCCATGCCTTTGGGAGGCCACAGCCCACCCCCAGCTCCACTTTTGCCTGCTGCTGTCTGTAAGTGGGGCCCACCCTGCTGATCCCCAGATTCGGGGGTTTACATTGCCCCCGAGAAAGGCAAGACATACACAGCTAATGTCCCACCGGGAAGGGGCAGCTGAGGCAGCATCTGCCAGTCTTGCAGACACTTTTGCTATTGACTTATTTTCTTAACCGTCCCTAACCACAGCACTCGCCTGGAGCATCGCTGGTGCCCCAAGGTGGGTCCCCCAATCTGACGCTGGAGCCGAGGTCCACTGGAGACACAGAGTGGGTTGGTAACTCTGTTCCAGGACAGCTGCCATCCACTTCACAGGTGGAGCATGGAGGTGGAAGCTCCGCCCCCTGCGTGTGGGGTTCTTCTGGGGCCAACTCTGAACAGGCTTGGCCTTTCTTCACTTCCTGCCCTCCAGGAATTCACAAAGGTGCCCAGGAGGGCTCTGTGTCCCCAGGGTGTGGTGCCTCTCCCTGCAGCTCTCTTGTCACCAGCCATGTGTGTGTTCCCTCGCCCCCGGCAGGGTTTCAGTGGCCTCAGACCCTGCCTCCCTTAGATTTCCACCCCCCTCACCCAACTTCTCTCTCCTGCCTCCCCAACCCGTTCCCCTGACTGGAGGCAAAGGGCCCTGCAGTTCGGCAGTACACCCCCTTAGGAGGAGGAGGAGGGGCTGTAACAAACGCTTTTCTTCTACCTTGTGATGTACTTTGAGTTTATATATTTCTATTATATATGTTTTATATATATATATATATATTATATATGTTCTATTCATTGAACAAAATGCCCCAAAGCTTAATGGCTTTCCTGAAATACAGCTGAAATACAAGTGCCCACCTCGACTGAGTAATCTACGAAGGACACAGCCACGGAATGAAAGGCCCTGTGCATATGTCCGGCTGTGCAGTCTGTGGGCCGGCCAGGCCTCTGGGCCCTTGAGGCTCCGGGCAGGGCCTCATGCCCCGACAGCCCTGGCCAAGGTCAGGAGGTGGGACAACCTGGACCATAGCAGCAGGCCCAGCCCCCTCGGCCTTCATGTCTGGGTCACCTGTGCTGAACCCCTGCCAGGAGCCCCTGTGGCAGAAGGGAGGCCCTCCCCTTTCAAGGGTTAAAGGCCCAGCAGCACAGAGCAAGGGCTGCTCTTTGAGGCTCCCCTTCCCTTGCCTGGGGGACACGCACATCTTTACCACTCTGGTGATTATTCCTACTAAAGGCAGACATCATTTTAAAGGTGGGTGAAATAATTGAAAAGCAGGTGGGCAAATGGCACAGAGCCTGCTCATCCTTTCAAACTGTCATCAGCCGTACAGGTCTCAGCTGCCATTTCATGACTATCCTTGTTATTTTCCATTTGTGCACATTTCTGTCCATAGGTGTGGACGGAGGGGCTGAGAGAAGCTGTGGGGGGCCTTGAAACAGCCAAGTGCATACATTGGGACCCTCAGTGACATGCTCAGCTGGTGACTGGCCCTGTGTGGAGGGGCAGGGGACGCATGGAGGGGAGCAGCTTTCCCTGGCTCACGCACTCAGCACAAGTGCTTCACACCATCCACGGGCCTGGCTCCTCTTCTCGGGCCTAAGTGGGAAAAACAGAACACGGGCTGGGGGCAGAGCTTGCCCCAGGGCTACCCCCACAATTCCTGTCACAGTAGTGGTGGCACCACTGTGAGCTCATTTCTTCCTCACAGTACCACCTGGGGGGGTGGGAACCATAGCTGTCTCCATTTTCCTGAAGAGTAGATTGAGATGTGAGCATGATGGGACAGAGAAAAGGGGCCAGGACCAGAAGATCTGTGGGGTGGGTGAGGGATATGCTGCCAAGAATCAGGCGCATTCACTCAGTGGAACCCAGAAGCCAGGTAATGGGAGGCAGCTGGTGCTACAGGAGGTGGGATGAGGTAGAGGCAGGGGAGGCAAAAGCAGAGGGTTGATCCAAACTTTGTCTAGAAAGCCAGGAGGACCCAGGTTCCCTCCACTGTAATCCCCAGACAAGCCTGGAGGTTTGTTCTTTGGAGAAATTAGAGAGGGGTGGCTCTTGGCTCAGGAACCCTAGGGGCAGCAGAAGGCCGGGGTGGTGTCTGGACTGAAAAGGGGTTGGGGTATAAGAAGAAAAGTTCACACTAACTGAGAGAACCTGCAAGAGCCCCCTCCCCGACTCTCCTCCCAGAAAGTTGGCAGCATGACCTACGTGCCCCAGGCCGGCGCATGTCCCTAGAGAAGAGACGTAAAAATTCTTCCATGTGAGGGCTGCCAACAAAGAAGTCTGCTTCACCCACCAGTCTAAAGCTCCCTCCAGCCAACAAATCTCCAAAGAGCTCTTTAGTGCTGTACTCTCAGCAATGAACAGATTGTCAAGGATCCCTGAACATGGGAGTGAAGCTGCCAGCATGGAGCCCAACAAATAAACAGAAAAAAGGCACTCAGAGGAATTGGAGGGAAGGGAGCAGGAAACAAGCTCAAAATGAAACTCTTATCGTTGATACTCTCAGGGGATGAGAGAGGATGTTGCATCCAAGAAACGAGGTCAGCATTCTCTAAGGAAGGGGTCATCAAAGCACAAGAAAGAGGGTTTCTAATAGATGGGACAGAAGGCAGAGCTGAGGAAATGTCTAGGAAAAAAGACAAAGAGCTTGACAATAAAAAAGAAAAGACAACCAGAAGGTTGGTCCAGATGATTCATTGTCCTACTATTTGGAGTTAGAACAGAGAAAACAGAGAAGGCATTTCCAAAGAAATAATACAAGAAAATTGCCAGCTGAAGGGAGGGAGCCTTCAAAAGGAGAGAGCTCATCAAGCAAAAGCACAATGAGCTTTTAAAATTCCAAACCAAGGTATATCATCATGAAATCTGAACGCATCAGGGACAAAGAGAAAATCCTACAAACTGGTGGATCGTGGAGGGTGGTACAACACGTACATAGGTTTAAGGATTAGAATGACGTTAGACTTCACAACAGCAGCACTGGAAGATGGGAGACAATGGACTAATGCCTTTGAAATTTTGATGAAAAAGTTTTCTCAACCTAGATTTCTACATCTTGCCAAATTATTTTTCTAAGTATGAAGTGGTATAAAAGAATTGCTAGGCGTGCAACATCTTTAAAATTTTTACCTTCTGTATATCCCTTCTCAGAAAGATGCTGGAGGATGTGCTCCAGCAAAACAAGCAGGTAAACCAAGAAAGAGGAGGACCTGGGGTGCAGGAAGCAGGGGACCTAGCCCTACAGAGAGGCCAAGAGAAGCTCCAAGGTAACACTTTGTACCACAGAGCAGAGAACAACTGTTCAGATCTGAGCAGGAAGTCAAAGGACCTGGGAGGGAGGCCTCCAGGGGAGAAGGAACTGCTAGATTATCACATATGTTAGGGCACTTGAAACAACTGTTGATAGGTGCTTGACAGAAATATGGAAGCATTTGGGGAAAAGTTAGCCATCAGGATATTGAAAATGATAAAAGGAGGTATTTACCTCTGGTGTGGAGGGGAGGATTATGAGGCAGAAACATATTCATCATACACTGTTTGGCTCTGCAATGAGCAACAGTCCTGGTAATATAAATGCTGACTATCAATGCCAAAAATTATGATCTAAGATACATTAGGATGATGGATGAGGGAGGAAAGTGGGAGCACAGTGGACAATGAGAGTCAAATTCTCCATGATTATGATAGAAAGTTAACAAATTATGTCAAGATATAATAAATAAAAAAGTCACATACCCTTATTTTTTCAGAAGCAAATTTAAAAAGTGGAAAGCAGTGGTCCCTGGGGAGTGGGACCATGGGATGGGAGAGACAGGAGGGGATGGCTGCACTTTTGCTGTGAGGCTAAGCTACGTGGATTGTGTACTTCCTGCAGGGATTGCTTTTCCAAAAATAAACACTTAATTGCAGAAGGAAGAGGGAGCTCCTGCCACTCGCCTGCCATTGTGGTGCAGAACGGGGCACAGGCAGAGGCCAGCGGCAGGAAGACTCAGAAGACTGGGCAATGTGGGTATTTAACAAATGGAAGAAGTCCCTGTATGGTAGGTGCCCTGGAGGCAGAAATCCTGGGCCTGAGGAGCCAGTGGGAGCCCGTCTCTCTTCTGCGGTCACTCTTGTCAAATTATGTCAGCTGGATTTGTTCATAGAATATGGCTTCCAAAAGAATAGCAGCCACAGGTGCTGGGCTGGAGGGAAGAGATCATGACCCGACTAAGTGGCGGTCCTCAGGCAGTTTGGAGAAGGTAAGCATCGGCATGGCGCCCTTGCATGGGACTGGAAGGATGAAGGGGAGAGGAGTTTGGGTGAGCACCTTCTCCTTCTTAGGAAATGAGGCTCAGCCACTGTAGGGGGTGGGGAACAAGGTCAAGTTTCCTTCCCAGGCCAGGGGTCGGAACTATGAGGTTCCCTGGTTTCTCAGGTTATCTGGCACCCTCGTCCCTGTGGCCTGGCCCATTCCTCTGTTGTGGTCTATGCTGTTGTGGTCCCAATTGGTGACTCTTGTTGAACCAGGGCCAGAGGGTTGGTCTTCAAAGGGAGAAGGGGGCTAATGAGGACCAGAAACATGGGAAGAAGAGAGGGGGGTAGACCACTGGAAGCAGCTGTGCGGGAGGCTGAGCTCGCAGCCTTGACTCAACAGAGCCAGGGGGCAGAGATGCAGCTGGCTGGTGTATGAGTAATCTGTGCTGCATGACAAATGGCCACAAAGCTGCACAGCTTAAAACAATAAACGTGTGTCTGAGGTCAGGAATCTGGGAGCAGCTTGGCTGGCTCCTGCAGTTCAACGACTCTCAGGAGGTTGCAGTCAAGGATTTCCCGGGGCAGCAGCCTCTGGAGGTTTGACTGGGGCTGGAGCATCTGCTTTCCAGCTTGCTCACATGGCTGTTGGCAGGAGGCTTCAGTTCCTTACCACACGGGCATCTCCAAATGGCTGCTCATAACACGGCTTCTCCCAGACCAAGTGAACAGAGAGAGAGACAGAGACAGATAGAGAGCTCAACCAAGAAGGAAGTTGCAGTGCCCTTTGTGGCCTAACCTCAGAAGTATCACACCATCACTTCTGCCTCATTCTTTTCTTTTTTTTTTCCTTTTTTTAATGCTTTTCGGTGAGGAAGAATGACCCTGAGCTGACATCCATTGCCAATCTTCGTCTTTTTTTTTCCTCCCCAAAGCCCCAGCACATAGTTGTATATCCCAGTTGTAGGTCCTTCTAGCTCTTCTATGTGGGATGCAGCCACAGCATGGCTTGATGAGTGGTGTGTAGGTCTGCACCCAGGATTGGAATGGGCAAACCCTGGGCTGACAAAGCGGCATGGGCCAACTTAACCACTCGGCCACGGGGCTGCCCCCTCTGCCGTGTTCTGTTGGTGCCTGGGACAGTGGAAGGATTCTACACAAGGGTGTGCATCCCAGGAGGCAGGATCATTAGCAGCATCTCACAGACTGCTCCTGCAGGTGGTAAGGGGACAGGGCAGTGAACAGAAGAGCCCCAGTCCCTTCCCTGTGGAGCTTATGGTCCAGGAGAGGAGACAGATAATCATCCAAGTGTCTCACAGATAAATACGCAATTAAAATGAAAACCACTGATATGAAAGAGAGCACAGGGTGAGACGAGATACCAGGGAGGCCGGCTTGGCTGGGGGCCCAGGAGGCAACTCTGAGGAGGGAGGCGGGCCGCAGGGGGTAATTCCTGGTTGTCACTAGGCTCAGAGAACAAAAGACGGCTCAAACCTCTCAGTTATGTTCAGGCTAATATTAGCTTGAGGGACATGTGAGTAATTTACTTTTTCTGACAAATGTTAATACTTAAGGGTAAAGAGTAAAAGATTGAGCCCCAAATTTAAAAACAAAAGACAACCTTCAGTGATGTCTCTGTGCACTAAGCAAGGTGTCTTCTTATAGGAATAGCAGAATCACCCAGAAACCAGCATCTAATTATAGCAGTGCCATCTGTGGCACTAAAATAAGGATGATTATCAACACTATCTTTCAGGTTTTTCACTAAGTCAGAACAATTTGCTAAAAATAGTCTGTACTGTATCCGCAACGCCCCCAAACAATGTGTGTTTTCCCATCACCACGGCCTGCCCGCTCCCCGCGGCCTGGAGACCGAGGGGGTGGTAAGCCCCGCTGGCAGCCGTGTCTGCTGTTGGCTGGTTTCCATGCTCAGCTTCGTTACTGAGGCAGCGGGAGACAGGGTGGAGGGAAAGTTAAGACTGGATTCCAGCTAGCAGTGGAGGGCCACGCAGACGCCAGGCTGGGCAGGAGGCCTTGAATGAAGGAAGCTGGGGGCACCTTCCACGTCTCCCAGGGATTTCGGGGCTTATGGCCAGGTCCTCAGTTCCTAGAGTCCTGCTGGGTCAAGGGAGGCAGACCTCTTCCCCACCCCTACACAATGGCACACACGTAAAGGGCTAAAGTATGTAAATCAGACACCAATTCACTTGTTTTCCATGGGGAGGTTCCCTTCTAGGTCTGAACTCTCAGGTCCCCCATCCAGGGTATCTTTTCTGGGGTCAGAATTACAGTGAAGCCTGCAGGGTCACAAAGTGGCCCAGTGCGTATAGGGGCTGAGCCCAGAAAGGCAGGTGGAACGATAATGACATTTCATCCTGGTCATAGGGTTATTGTTGGCCTATATAGAGCCTTCATGTGAATTAGAAAAAGGGGGACCTAATCTGACCCAGGGACCCAGTCAGGAGAGCAGTGCATGCACTGGACATCAGAACCCACTTGTTTCCTGGACCAGGAAACGTTGAGTAGCATGCAACCTGTACAACTGTCCATGGCCCCCTGTGATTGCCATGAGTATAAGAATTCATTTATGCCCCACAATACCAAGGGCCTCTTCAAGCCAGAAGAGCTCCTGCCTCAGACTCAGGGTCTCTTTCCTGGATGGGGCACGATGGATACAACCAATGCTGGCCTTTGGATTTCCTTAGGGTCTAGGAAATGGTAAATTTTTTTTTTTTTAATTAATGTTATGATAGATTACAACCTTGTGAGATTTCAGTTGTACATTTTTGTTAGTCATGTTGTGGATACACCACTTCCCCCTTTGTGCTCTCCCCCCAGCCCCCCTTTTCCCTGGTAACCACCGATCAGATCTCCTTGTCAATATACTAACTTCCACCTATGAGTGGAGTTATACAGAGTTCATCTTTTTCTGACTGGCTTGGAAATGGTAAATTTTTAGGTTAATAATTTGCAGACTGTGTCCTGGGGCTCCCTAGCATTTCCAGGAGGAGTTCAAGGCTGATCAGTGTGGAGGGCAGGTTGAGCAAAGAGAGTTCTGGACCTCGCATCCCCACTTTAATCAGAAGAGCTCTCTCTCTCTCTCTCTCTTTTTTTTTTTCTGCCTTACTTGTTGGACTACTATGTGAGATTTACTTTGGAAAAAGGATTCCGCAGGTAAATTGTCTAAACTCATATTTTCTACCCAAGGGAAAGATCTTTCAAGAATGAAAGTGAAATAAAGCCTGAGGGAGTTCAATGCCATCGAATTGAAAGGAATTCCGCAAAATGTATCTCAGGGAGAAGGAAAGTGATCTCAGCTGAAGGCTTGAGGTGGAAGAAGGAATGAAGGAGACAGAGAGCACTTGTGAGGGTAAATGAAAGGAACCTTCGATTGTATACAGCAGTATCAGTTGTGTCTTGTGGGGTTAAGAAAAGCAAAGCAGAATTAAAGCTCTAGAGGGAAGCACCTGTGTCAGGGGGGCCACATGGAGTTCACGCGTTCAGGGGCCTTGTTCTGTTTGGCTGGAAGGTAAAGCATTGAATTCAGATTTTTATATATTGAGTTCATGGGTGAGAGGTGAAATGGTGGGTGAAATGGTGGGTGAAATGGGTGAAGAAGGTTAAAAGGTACGAAATTCCACTTATAAAATTAATAAGTCCTGAGGATGTAATGTACAGCATGTGACTACAGCTAATAATACTGTACAGTGCATTTGAAAATTGCTGAGAGAGTAGATCTTAAAAGTTCTCATCACAAGGAAAAAAATTAGTAACTGCATGGTGATGGATGTTAACCAGACTTACTGTGGTGATCATTTCACAATATATACAAATATGAAATCATTATGTTGTACACCAAAACTAATATAATGTTATACGTCAGTTATATCTCAGTTTAAAAAAGGGAATTCATGGTATAATTTCCAGGGTATTCACTAAAAGATTAGAGCAAAGGTATGGAGGGGAAAAAAGCAATCTTAGAGAAGGGAGAAAAGATGGGGAGACAAAGAAACTATAAAACTAGATGCTAAGTTAAACCTCAAATATATCAACAACTACTTTATACATCAATAATTTATATATATGTTAAATAAATGTATATATAATATATGTTTATATATAAATATATAAATACGTACATATTTTTTAAATACTTTAAAATAATTTTTAACCTATATATGTAGACTAAATGTTCCAGCTAAAAGTTGAAGATTATCAAACTAGTTTTAAAAAATATGACTATATGGTTTTTTATGAGAGATTTAAACACAAAGTTACAGAACAGTTGAAAATGAAAGGTTGGAGAAAAGACATATAGATGTATATAGATACAAAGAAAGGGGGGTCATTATATTAGTATCAGATGAGAATATTTTGGTGAAAGCGTTATTAGAGACAAAGAACATCAAGGAATAATGTTAAAAGATCCCATTAGGATGGAGAGTCAGCTGGGTATGGCCCCCCACGGCTCTTCCCTCTGTTCTCTGTCCTCCACTGCACAAGCACTCACGTGGCAAGGGCACAGGAAGCCTGACATCTACCGGACAAATTGTCCTGCCCCCTGGGTTGCTTAGTGCCCCTCCTGGGTAGATACGAAGATCCGTACACTCTTTGCCCACTCTCTGTAAGTCCAATCACATGCCTCTTTCCCAAGTCTCCTTGTCCCTGAACTTCCAATTTGCTCCTTCCAGGTTCCTGACAAACCAGCTAAGCAATTCCCCACTACCCGTGAATCCTTGCATATCTTTACCTCAGAGCACTTCTCTGGACGCACAAAGTGGGTGACCAGGTACACTGCATGATGCTCTGCCCATGAGGAAGATTCTCACAGTCACTAGGTGGTGACTATTGTAGCCACCCCTGTGTGGGGCTGTGGTGCAGTTGTCATCCATCTTTGTCTCTCCCTGATACAGCTAGCTGATCCATCCATGGACTGAGCTTGGGCTTTTTCCTCCTTTGTCAACCAATCATAGAAACCCCCTTGAAGTCTTCAGTGTGAGATGAGGGAGAGGTGTCAGTGCACAGAGGTGGATGACATGGGATCTGGACCACTGCTTGTGGTTCATCTAGCCCAAGAATCAAAGATGCCCATACCACCATCTTGCTCCTGCAGAGCCTCTCCTTGCTCTGGGAGCCGTTCAAAACTCGCCCAAACTAGAGACCTTCTGCACCAACTGATAAATGGGTCAGAGCAGTTCCCAAGTGTGAAATATGCTGCCTCCAAAACCCAAAAAGGCCTACTAAGCATTGTGCTTTTTCCTTACATGTAGGAAGTTTAAGATGCAATAATTTTCCCTTTATTTGGAGCATTGTGCTTTTTCCTTACATGTAGAAAGTTTAAGATGCAATAATTTTCCCTTTATTTGGAGGAGTGACTCATCATGTCCTAGGCTCATGGGTCCCTGAAAACTCCATAAACGAGCCAGGCCCCTGAATCTTTGTAGGGTTGGTCTCCAACCCTCCAGAGACTATATGTCTTTCCGTGGCATCAAGAGTACTTGCCACTTCCTGCACTTCAGGTCTGACATGATATCACAAGTCAGTGGACCAGTATGCTGCTCTGCAGAAGTTAATACAGTCCAGCTGCTGTCCTGCAGACCATCCTATAGCAGAGAGCAGGAGGATCAACACGGCCCTGGGGCAACACCCTGAATGTTTACTTTTGTCCACCATACGTGAATGTGAGTTTGTCCTCCTTGTGATGGGTGTGGAAGAGACGAAATTTACCAGATCCATAGCTACATGCCATGTCCTGAAGCCTGTCTTAACCTGCTCTAACAAAGAAGCTCTGCATGACGCAGTGGCTGCAACTGGGCTACTGCATGGTCAAGTTTGTGGTAGTCCACTGCCATCCACCATGATCCATGTGATCTTTGCAGGAAAGGTACTAGTGACTTAAATTCTAGTGAATTAAATTATAATAAAGTAAATTAAATATGAGTGAGTTAAATTGGGGAGGTGACGGGAACTTGGCACTCTTGAAGACTTTGGGAGTCCTCCATCCCACCTCCACCTCCCCCGATGTAATAGTATTTTTGATTTAGTGTCTTGCCTAGATGCAGTCCCAGGGCTTGCACTCGTCCTTCCCCGGTAGCTTGTACCCTACAGGTCAAGGAAACTATTTGTGGGTTCTGCCAACTTCCAGGTAAGTCCATTACAATCAAGCATTCAAGAACCCAGGACATGACCACTGAGTGGTTCCATGGGCCCAGTGGATACACTGTGAGCTGGATCTAGGCCAGGAGTCCATTCGTTACCTGACTCTGATATGCCCCTATCCTAACGGGAGGGGCATGAAGGCACTGCAAATGTTAGTGTCAGCTTGGACCATATCCAAGCACCCTTGAAAATCTGATTAATTCCCTTTTCAAGGGTGTGGTTACCCAGGTGAAATACCACAGGTCCTTGTAGAGAAGAACTGGAGGAATCACTGCTGTCTACACCAACCATGGCGCTGCAGGGTTCTCCCGGGTGGAGGCTCAGCCTCCTCTTCGGTCAACGTGTCCTGGGTCTGAAAACTGGCCCAAGTCTGGAAAATGGGCAAAAGAGTATGATTTCCCAGGGCTTCCTGTGAATATATCCCTTTTTCTTTTGAGATTTAATTCATATAACGTAAAATTCACTATTTTAAATTGTACAAGTTAGTGGATTTTAGCATATTCACAGGTTGTGCAACCATCACCACTATCTGATTCCAGAGCATTCCCATCCCCCAAAAAAGAAACCCTATACCTGTTAGCAGTCAAGCTCAATTCACCCCTTTCACCAACCCCCAGCAACAATTAATCTGCTTCTCTCTGTATTTGCCAGAGCACTGGACATTTCATACAAATAGAATCATACAATATGTGACCTTTCATGACTGGCATCTTTCACTTTCCATGATACTGTCAAGGTTCATCTATGTGGACTACATTAGTATGTCATTCCTTTTTATGGCTAAGTAGCATTCCACTGTATGGATATGCCACATTTTATCTATTCTCCAGTTGGTGGACATTTGAGTGTCAATGCATTCTTGATACTTTTGATTATATATATTAAGCAGTACCCTAGATGGTTGCCCATCTGTTTTGCCCCTAGGAATACCTTATTCTATAGGCCATCTCTGTTCCACATATCTCTGAAAATTAGAACCCCTGTCCCCTTCCCCCTCATTCTGCCCTTGCAGCCTTTATGGTAAGTACACCTCCCTTTAAGAAGCAAGCGCTGCAGTTAAGTGCTACTGCTGGCCCTTTCTATTCTGTGGTTCTATCATCCCCTCTGGTCCTGGGAGCCTTGTTCTGTGACAGCATATCCTACCACCAGGCCTGGCCTGCCAAGGACAGCCCCCGCCAAGCTTCTTGACAATGCTAGTGCCCCCTCCCCAGTGAATTCTTTATTACCTTGGTAAGTGTCCTCCAGCTCTCCCAAGGAGCAAAGTCAGATGCTGGGTTTCCCGTCTCATGGAGTAGAAGAACTCTTGTTGGCTACTTCTTTGAGCCTTTCAATCCTTCCTCCATAGCCTGCCTTGTAAGTTCTACCATCGCTTTTCTATTACTGTTCTCTTTAAAAAGTGGACCATTCATTTTTCTAGTTTCTAAGAGCCATCCCAGAAGGAAACATCCTAGGGTGCATTCCAGGCTGTTAAACTCTGTGTTATGGCTGAATGCCATCAAATCAACAAATCTCTCTTATCCAGCTTACTCTTCTGTCCCCCTTGGACTGATTCCCAGGCACTCTCGTCCCTGCTGGTACACACTAGGTGGGTTCAGCGGCTCCTTTGATGCATAATTCCCCTCCTTCCTGAGCAGGTCAGCAGAAGACAGGGTCCTGATAAGGGAGGGCTGTGGCCCTGACACTTGAGATAGAGATATTTGAACTTGAGAGCCTTGAGCCCCTAGATTCCCCTGAAACCCTCTAGGATTCCCTAGGCTTTCTCTCCCACTTGTTGAAGATAGAGCCTTCATCCATTGCTTGAAGACTCTGCACAGGCTTCACATGAGGCAAGTGCCTTTTAAGACCATGCTGGGTCTCCTCGGGCACTAGCCCTACCTCCCCTCCTGGGCACCAGACCAATAACTAGAGCCTGGTGGCAGGCAACACAAGCCAACCGGGATGACTCAGCAGAAAGAGCCTTTACTAGAAGACATTGGGAGGCAAGGCTGGGGAAGCAGCTTGGAAAATGCCCAGGAACCAAGGGAGCTTTGGGGCAGGAAACATGTGCACAGACGTACTACTGGAATGGGCTGGTCAGGATGCTACTGCTGCTGTTGCTAACTCTGGAGCAGCCGGTTGTCCTCTCTGGGTACAACTAGCCATTCCTTCATGAACTCACCTCTCACCGTGAGTCCAGCCCCATGCAGGAGTGTCCTGGTGCCCGAGCCCGGGTCACTGGCCTGTGCCCTACTGGACAGGTGGGCAGGTGAGGAAGGATGGTCTTGGTACTTTGGCTTCAGAAGTTGCCTCCCACCATGGGGGATTCCCTGCCAATGCAGGAGAAAATTGGGTCATGGTCAGTTAAAGACAAATGTCTCTTAGCTACCACTAGGGGAGAAGGACGAGGGTTGGGGGTGCTGGGCTGTTCCCTCAGATTTGCTATCAGAACACATGCATGTTGGCAGTACTGATATTTAGAATATTGCCCTTCTTGGGGAGATTGCCTATTCAGGGAGACCATCACAGACTTCCTCTAAAGGAGTGAAAACCTATTGTCAAAAAGTGGGAATCTAGTCAATGGGTGCAAAAGGATGGGGAAAGATGCCAATCCTTCTCAGCACCCTTGGAATCGCCCTATGGCTGGAGGCAGTGAGTGTTTCTTACTCCGTTCGAATTTGAGGCTGGTCCTGCTAGGTAGCCTTAAGGTTGGGTTGGAATCTGCGGCAGACACACACTGTCCCCTGGGGCTTCCTTCAGCAGGGGGTCCAAGAATCCTTCCATTTGGGGCTTCCAGATGCTCCCTCTTTGCTTTTGGTTACAGAGGAAGTCAGCCAGGTATCAGCATGTGGAATAGGGTAGGCCAGAGACTGGATCT